TTTTTTTTGTTGTTTTTTTGTTTTTTAAATTTGAATTTTATATCTCTGTCCAAAATGTGTTTTTAAAACAAATGTGAGTAGTTGACTCTGAAGTGTTAAACTATCACAACAGGTCAGGACTTCTTGATATTAGGATTCTAAATGATTACAAATCACCCCCCCTCGATACACTTGCCATGTATTCTCCAAGTCACTCTTTGTATATCGGATGTTTGTCCTCTGAGAGGTGAGAAAGCACAACAATAATATAAGTTTTTAAAAAAAAATATATATATATATCAGCTGTGTACCAGATGTTATGTGTGAACCTTTATTCAATTCTTCTTTTAGCTTTTTCCATTCTGTTGTCGTCAAACGTTTCAGTGATGCCTGTACATTTTTGAGTAGTTACATTGTGAATTTCCCGTGGGGTCATATTTCGGTCTTTTGAGTTGATCAAATTGGGACAAAATGAAATCTATGAGCCCCCCCCCCTGCCGCCGCCGCCTTGCGCTCCCCTCACATATCTATGTTGTCGGCGTCCGCTTTGATCTTTTGGACAAAAATGTTCTTGGCTTTCCACGCAGACTGAAAAGAAGCTTTGTTTCTTGGTTTTGGTGGCGTTGTTGTGAAGTCTCCTGTTAATGTATCTAGTTACTTACCTTAAGTGCTTAGCTCTACTCTGAGGATGATTTTGTAACTTTGCCTGTTTCACTAATGCGTCTTAAGTACTCACCACCCATCCACCCAATCCTCCTCTCCCTTCTCTGACTAGTATTGCTGTTGCCATACGCAGTACTTGAAAAGTGATTAATAATTCAGGCGTCGTGGATGCTTCCTTACTCCTCAGTCCTCCTCATTGTGATTGATGGTGGTTTAAAAATTTGGTGCCAGAAAATATTTAGCCAGTTTATGGTAGTGTTGTGTGTGTTTTTTGTTTCTTTTGAATGTTGTAATATCTTACTCTTATTTCATACAGACTGGTGAGAAATGAAAGAACAAACCAACAGTGTTTCAGTGTGCCTTGGCACTGATTCCAGAAGTTTCCAGATAAGTGTGTCACGAAGGAAACTGACTGGTGTCTTATGCGGGAGCTTTAGCATGTTTGGGTTGTTTTAGTGTGAAGTTTACTCATATTTTCACTTTATTTTTGGTTGGGTTAAGGCAGCCAAACCTGGTGGGGTTTCCTAAGTGGTTAATTGTTAGTATCTTCAGAATTTTGCTGGTGATGCCAAAATGCCTTGACTGAGTCTCAGCATGTTTATTTTTATTTTTTTTTTAATTGGAAGTGAGACTAGACTTGGACCCTCCTTCAAGTCACTTCCATCGGGTTTGAAGGTTTGTTTGTTTGTTTTTTGTTTGTTTCTTCTTGTAGGACAAAGATGACCATTTGATTGCGTTGACCTTTGCCTTTATGGTGGCACTTAGGCTCGCTTGATGACACGGATATCGAGAATGCGTAGTCCTTCCATCTGTCTGCATTTTCTGCCACTTATCCAGGTCCCAGGACAGCTCCTTAAGCAGAGATCTCTCTCTCCCCAGCCACCTCCTTTACCTTCAAGTGTTCCTAGGACAGAGAGACACAATCTCTCCAGCGTGTCCGGGGTCTACTCCAGCCTAGTCCCAGTTGGACGTAACCGAAACACCTCATCCAGGAGCGCAGATCAGGTCCAAGTCAGATGCCTGATCGAGCTGAACTGGCTCATTTTGTTGCAGAGATCCAGCAGCTCTGCTGACCTGAATAGCCATCCAGTCTTTAAGGCAGAACCTAGACACCATTCAGAGGAAGCTCATTTCCACCGCTTGTATTTGCTCAGTCTTTCTTTTGGTTGCTATTTAGAGTTCATGGCCATAAGTGATCCACAGGTAAATCGACAGCTTCGCTTTCAAGTTCAGCGCTCTCCTCACCGTGACAGAGCACTGGAGCATACACCTGCTCCTTCCTTCTGTCTCACATACAAGACCTGGAGATACTCAACCACCTCCACTTGGGGCAACAACTTGCTCCCAGCTTGGTGTGGACTCTCCACCCTTGTCATGTGCAAGCTTGCGTCCATCGCTCAAAGAAGCCATCAAGAAATTTTTATAGTTTTTTATTATAAATAGTGTACTATTTATAATATAGTGTACAATTTGCATGGTTTTAAAAAAGGGGGGGGCACACAATGTCCTCTTGGAGCCTTGTGCTCACCCCTTGCAGGGAAAATATAACACCAGCTTCAGGGGGCCAAGTGGACCCAAGCCATCCCATCAAAATGCCTCATAGCACAGCAGAAAATAAGGTCTCCTCGCTGCAGTCGTCAAGTGTGTGACTGATTTTTGTTTTGGGGTTTGTTTGTTTTTTCTTTATTTCATTTGTCACCAATCTGTGTAAGCGCCTTTCTTTCCTCTGAAAAGATGCAAGACGTTCATTTAATCCAGCGCCAAAGTCACCATATTCTGCTCCTCTGCAAGTCTACACAGTCGCGTTTGCATATAAGGTACAAGATCACACTTTTTATCGTGTGACGACAATGTTTTTGGTTTTAATTTGGGGTTGTAAGTGAGGGTTTGTTTTTGATCTTGTTTTGTTTCTTATGAAGATGACTTTGTGGCCTTTTCTTCTGGGGAGAAATGGTTATTGGTACAGAGTATAAAAATTCTAACAGGCAGCCAGATGAGCTGTCTGTTAAACAAATGAGATTATCTCTGAATATATGGGATCTTCCATTGCGTTAGGTGTAATTTAAATCGGAGCGGGGCTGACCTGGAGATATTTTATAATACGCTTGGATTTGTTTGAATTTTTTTTTTTTCCTCAGGATTTGTTTTAGTTTGACTTTTTAAAACGTGATATATTATTGGTGTGACATTTTGCACTGCCTCATGTATTTTAAAATGTCGTGTGTGTGTGTGTGTGTGTGTGCGTGCGTGCGTGCATGCGTCTTTGTTGCCTTGAATTGTTAAATACAAATGCGCTTTACCATCATTCGCCTTGAGGTGGCTCTTTTGTTGGCTTATGTCAAAACAGCCTTTTATTTTATTTTATTTTATTTTTTTTTCTTCCTTCTCTGTACAAAAAACTTTTCAGGGCTAGATTTTCATTCCACAGGAAGGACTCTTTTTAGGAGAACAGGACACATGTTAGAAGAATTAAAATGTATATCAAGTCTGTTCTTAACCTCAACTAAAAAAACACAAAAGTTTTGCAGGAGAAGTGTAATAAACATATACCCACAACTTATTTCAAGCAGTGTCCTCACATCCTTCTTTCCAGACCTTTTGTTGTTGGTCTCGTAGTTAACTACCGCAGTGGAATGAAGATCTGCTCTGCTTTTTTTCTTTTCCCACAAGAGAACCAAAGAATTTCAGTCATTCCATCCAAATTGTTCATCAGAGTCCTAACATGGTGCAAAATAATTACCTCTCATCCTTTCTTTCACCTGGGAAACGTGCTAAATCAAGCTAACACGTCATTTCATGTCTTGTCATCGCGTTTATTGAGGCCATGCCAGAATACTCAATCTTGGTTTTGTTTTTTAAAAATCATTGTAAAAGAGTCGTTTGAATTGCTCTGTAATTATTGTAAAATTGTTTTTGTTTTGGCATGTTTTCTTTTAACTGTTTTTTTTTTTTTTTTTTTTTTTTTTTTTAAAACAACTGAACATGTGAGATCAACTTAAACGGAAACAAATTTGAACAGCAGAAATCAGCCAACTTGCCCATTGCCCAGGCAGCAGCCCATTCAATTTGAACAGCCGGGTCTGCTGCCATGAATGTGTATGCGTGAGACATGGAGTGTGCAAGTTGTACCTTATACGCACGTGTTTGGTAAATAATTGCTCTTCTGAGGGATGTAAGCAGCAGCAGGTGGACTGAGAAACTGTATACGAGACCCCTGATCTTCTGCCTCAGATATGGCATATATGGGAACTGCTGATAAATGCTGTCTTTTTAATAAATGTGCTATTTTATCAGAATGTGTTGCTGCTGTTCTTCCACCTCCACCACCCAGGAGTTATCACCTACAATTATTCCAGGTCAGTTAATATTTGAACATAGTGCTCTGGTTAATTGAATTTCTTTTAGGCCGAGTACTTTGGAATTAAAGTGTGAAGTATGCTGGACTTGGTGTAGCGTACCAAAGTCTTGAGCCACCCCTCATTTCTCTTTCTTTTGTTCCGAGGAGCCAGAGTTGTATTTAAGTAGTGTTATCTGCTCATTTTCCCTGCAGTCCTTGTTCCTCCCCCACTTTCAGAGGAACTTATTCTGTTACGTTACCAATCACTTGAGCATAAAAGACTCGTAAGGGATAACCAGTAATATCTACACATAATAGAGAACTTGGCAAAACAAAAAGTAGTATTTAATCATTTTACTGCTTGTAGCCTGTTGCAGGAACACATCTGTTCCTATTTCTTTAGCTATATTTATGAAAAATTGTAAAGATAACAGTTTGACACACAAACTAGTGTTTTTACTCCAAATAGGAGACTCCCACAGAGCTGTTAGTTGAAAACTTGGTATTTCTCTGCATGGCAAAAGCCTAAACAAATATATCTTCACCAGATGAACAGTTTGCAAAAGTAATTTATGTAATCTAATGAGGTCTTTACTGAAAAATCCATAAAAGATCTGATACTGAGAGATGCATCTGGACAGAAGTGGTCTAAGTGGAAAGAAGTCGTGCTTAATGAAGAGAAACGAGGAGAAAACACTGATCTATGCTAAATGACACGAGCTGGACTGAACAGCAACAGATCTTATGGAGTGATTAATCCAGTATGTACAGAGGTACAACAGTGAGTGTAGACAGCCATCTGTGAGACACAGCGTTGGCGATCTTTCCAAAATTGGTGAAATTATGAACACAAAGTTCATAAAAGATTTAGATCCAAGTTTGACTGCATGGTTCAGTCATCCACAGCACCTATTTCCCATTTTCTTAACAACATATAAAGAAATGAGGGACCTCTGCACAGTACTGTACCTTTTGTTGATGCATGAATAGCTTCCAACATATTGGCTTGGTAATTATTATTGATCTATCACACATTTGTCTGTATCAGGGTATATGTCGTCTGATATGTGCAAATATATTTTTAAGAATTTGTTTTTTAACTGAACTGCAGTAAAGATCAGGTCATCAGATAATTCTTGTTATTACTTTAAAACCAGTACATCATTTGATACCGCCTAAATATCAGCGTTAGCTAAAAATCCAGGACAAGCAAGGCTCTACTTTAAACCTCTTAACCTTAAAAGTGCCCGTGTCATGTGACGCCTTGCATAAATAACACAATAACATACATTATTCATTTTTTTAATTACTTCACAAATGGATAATTGTCTCTCAGATGATGGTGGCTACTCACTGCCTGAACCCTTTGGCCAGATTATTGTTATTCAGATTAAGGGTAGCAGCTCTCAAATAGCTTTGAGTGCCTCACCCCCCACTGGCAAACTGAGTCAGAGGGTGAGATATTGTGTGTGTGTGTGTGTGTGTGTGTGTAATAATAGAAATACTCAAATAGTCTAAAAAGGCTAAAAACTGAACAAGCCTGAAACTGAATACCTCCACAGAGGCTGAAAACACACATGCCACACCACATCTGGATATCATTTTGTGTCATAGTCCTTCAGTTTGGTACATATTTGGCGATAAGATGCAAAATTGTATCTCACAATGGTAAAGAATCGTTCCAGAAAATAACAATTTTGAATCCAGAAACAAAAAAGAATCTCTTCCAAGTCAGGCAAAGCACCACCTCAGGACCGCCTGGGGGTTTTTGGGGGGTTTTTAGCTGGGGCTCTCATCTCTTATTTTCTGTTTGTCCTTCATAAGTATATATTTTTATTTTGAAATCCTTATTGAATGGCAGCAGCGTCGTGCCATCTTATGCCTTGTGTTCCTCAGTGCCATAAATTTAGGGACAGCAACACAGATAAATAAAGTCAACACTGTCGTCTAAAGAATTTTATTAATAGCTGATTTATTGTGTAGCCAATAAGTTATTTATGGTCAGTTCAACCACATAAGCAAAGCAAATTTTGAGTAAACAAATGAAACAAATGAAAATCACAAAAAAAAGTGAACGATGATAATCATCGGTTTCTGAGGTAGGATAGAAAAGTGTCACAGGGTCCGAGGGTCTAACCATACGTCCTCACAAATGAACAGAATAATCGCAGCTCAGTTCAGCATGGTCGCAGCACATGTGCAAGCCCTTTGTTTGTCCAGGTGTTGTTTTTTTTCTTCTTTTCCCACCAACTGTGAAAACTTCTTTAAATAGAAGCACGAGGCAGATTCATGCGTAGCTAAAGGAGGACAGCTGCTGAACAAAGCAGACTGAGGAGGCCACGCGGTTTGCTGCTGGACCAAGTCTCATAACCACAAAATTACACAAACTTACAGTATGTCATATTTACAATGTACATATTTACATATATAGAGAGAGAAATAGATAGTTTACATAAGCTTTAGCCTATAAATTAATCATTTTGACATTTGAAGTGCATCCTTTTGTGTTCAGCTGGTAATGGCAATAGACTGATGAATGCTGCCATGCAAAAACAGTCAGGTCCAACTGTTAACCTGATCCAAAATAAAGAGCCATGAAAGGTGCGTGCGTCAAGTCAACACCACCAGCTCTACATGACACCTCAGTTCCACCCTGACTGCAACCCAGGACCAAGCCCAGATCCAGAGGACGACTCCCCAACATGTTGTCCTGCGGATCATTTACGAAGGGGTTTTCACCCGGCGGATCTCCACCGGACAAAAATGCCACCCGCCAGATGTTTGTCAACCTGGGGCCCTGCCTTCGACCACCCATGACCTCCTGTGCGCTGTGGAAAAGGAACAGCAGGTCCACTCTCAATTCCACGGTGTGACCCCGTGACCCCAGAGTGTACCTAAAGGTGGCAAGAGACAGTGTCACAATCAGGCCAGCCATTCCCAGAGCCCATCAGTCAAATGATATTACTGGGTCTTGAATAAGAGTGTGTGTAAAAACACCAAAAGTACATTTCTTGAGTTTTGAGCCTGTACCTTGTAGGAAGCTTGTGCTTCGCCATGGATGGAAGCACAGGGCGGATGTCCAGATGTTGCGGGTTGGAAAGCTGAAGGTGAAGCTCGGCTCTTGTAACCGTTAATGACATGATCTCCCTGGTGAGGACAAACTCCACACCCGTATCTGGTGAGGCGGAGAAGAGGCAATTAACAGTCTGCCAGAGTCACGGTACAGCATTTCATGTCACAGAGAAGCACATTCACTCATGTCAGGCTCTGCCGCAGAGGTGATGTTTTCACTCCTAATGCCTTGTTAATGAGTCAGCAGGATGTCTCAACAATTCTTGAAGGGAACATTAAGCCAGCTAAGACTCATTTGTGTGCAGATAACATAGTCCTCCCTGCAGCTGCATTATTCAAGTCATTATCCACCCCCAAACTGCCTTTCTGTCTTCACTTCACCTCTGCTGAAAAATGATATTTTTAAAGGGAAAAGCCAGAATGCCTACTCTGTGTGTGGCTGCTTCGTGTTATTCATGTTTCTTTTGCTTAATTTTCTGCTAAATTAGGTACCAATTCATCCCTGTAATTTATTCACTTAGTTCATCGCTCATTAGACCCATTCAGAATGGTTTACTGAACAAAGTTTCTCTTCTCTCCTGATTAATTTGCAGCACAACTTTTTTTAAACTCTGGAATTATTAAGATTCTTGATATAGCAGGTAAGCTCAAGAAATATGAGAAGAAGCTGTGTGGAGGCCAGCTGATGCTTACAGATGTGAAGAGTCCGTTCCCGTGGTTACCACACAGCTAGTTTTATGTATTGAACTGAACTGTTTTGGAGGATTAACCACAGGGATTATCTTCGATTTTAGTTGGGTTTTTTGTTTGTTTGGGGGATTATTTAGAAATACTCCCTCCCATCAAGATCAATCCCGCTCAGCACATCTGACCTCCACAGGACGAGCATGAAGTTAAAGTGAAAAGTTAAAGTTTCTTTTGCCTGGGTGTATTCTCTCTTTTTTTTTTCTTACCTCCTCTCATGCGACCTTGAATCCCTTTCAGCCTCCTGCAGTTTTCTCGTTCTTGACAGCAGCGGTAGACGCGCCGGACGAAGCCGAACAGAGGTTTTCCTGGAAAAACCAACCCACGTGAAGCTCTCGCGGAAAAGTGCCGCATGCGGATCTCCAAACGCGTCCCGCTATCCACGCGAGCTTCTTGCGTGTTCTCCAGCCAAGGTGCTTCCAGTTCCGCGCACCGGTCCGTGCGTAAAGTCGCTTCGTGTGGCTCCCGTGACAAACGCTCCGATGTGCCCACCGCGCGCCCGAACACTCCACAGCAGCTCAGCATCATTAAAATGAAAAGTGATGTAATCCGCGTGCAGTTTGAAGAGGCCATGGTGAAATCCCGAATTCCGCCCAGTGCTTTTCCAGCGACGAGGAGCGGCCACTTCTTCTCTGATGCCAGCTCTCCAAAGCCTTGCGGCCAGTTTGAACCCCTCGCTATTATACCCCACTGACAATGGGGGGACAACACACCACTTAGAATTTGAATCCTGGCCCTCCTCACAGTCCCTGCCCCTCCTTTTGTGCCTTGCCCACCCATTTGACCCCCGCTGCCTTTTATTGAATGCGCCTGCATAATTAGGCGCCCCCAGAGCGCCGAGCAAGCCCATTCACATTCAGCTACTTAGCTAATTGCCCTAATTACTCCATAGCTGGATGGTCGCGAACGACCTTACTCGGAACACGTATAGGGGAGGATATTCTGAGAGAGCAAAAGTATGAACATCTTACAGGCATGCGTTTGGCATTTCAGACCGCTTTGCACACACCTGTTCATGGTCGTTTGAACAGAGGCATTAAGCAAGAGGCAGAAAACAATAGGCTCCACACTGAAGTCATAAGAAGGTCAGGCAACCCCAGCTGTTTTCAACAAGTTATGAGAAAAGTAACTCATAAGAGGCCAACTCAGAGCGGATCACATTTTATTTTAAAACACACAGAAGTTCATCACAGCAAACCTCTTCTCAGACAACCTTCGAATACACACATTTTGTGTAAATGGCAGCAATAAAGACAAATCACAGTCCTAATAGCCAAATATTTAAATAACACTTTTTGATTGCTGACATAGAGTTGATTATAAAATGCTTTAGAACTTCTAGACAAATAAGCCAATACAGGAGCAGCGAACAAGCTTCTCAAATGTGGGAGAGGATAACGACTCTGGCTTCAGTCTAAATGCATGAGTGAAAGCAACAGAAACATCTGCTGCAGACAGTTACTTTATTTTATTTTTTTTGTTTAAATGTAACAAATAAAATTAGACTCATACAAGCATGGAAGTAAACATAACCTACTTTACCTAAGCTTTAACAAGCATCCACTGTCATAGCAAATTTATAGTTACAATATAAATTTAAAAAAACAGTTCTGCTGTGAATATGAGATCCACTAGGGTTTTACAGCACAGTGCCACAGCGTACGGTAATGTACAGCATGGGAACAAGTAAACCACAGCTGGAGGGCAGCAAAGAAGATGTAATCCTGTTGTAAAATTTCCTACAGCAGAGCTTTTTTTTTCCATTTTATTTTTTTAATGTTACTTACAGGGCAGTTCTTCTCCCAGTGAAATACATTTCCTCCTGAACGGGCGACCCGACGCTGCCCTGTCAGAGCAGGTTAACCCCGTGTTTCAGCAGTCTGTGCCGGGCCTTGCTGGGTAGCGAGAAAGCGCTGTCCTGGTGGTTCGGGATGCCCGAGTTCCTCAGCGAGCCTCCGTTCTGCTGGAAGTAAGTCTCCTGGGCCACGCTGCGGGTGCCATACACAGCTGTGCTGGCATTCCTGCCCACATAATGTCACGCAGATTTAAATTTCAAGCCCGCTGTGCAACAAACAAACACACTAAAGAAGGCAAACAGTGTGGGAGGTTTTTACCAGTAAACATCAGCTGTCAGAGCGAGATCCACGCTAGTTAAGGGAAGGTTTAGGTTCAGAGGGATGAACGTGATAAACTGTCAAATAATCCCCCCCCCCTTCTAACCTTTACTTGAGTAGAAGAAGAAGAAATCCCCCTGCCCCCTCCACCCTCTCACACCAAAAGCTACTGCATCATTGCCATGCTGACCTGATAATAGCCTCCTGCAGAGTCTCAGTGTTACAGAAATGCGAGTGAAGAAGTGATGTGGCTCTGACAAAGGGTTGATCCCAGGCTCCCCCTGACCGGCCAGACAGGTTGGCTGCAGAGACACACAATAACAGAGGCACATTAACCTGGACAGGCACGCCTGCAGCTCAAAAGAATGCTGATCACAGTCCTTGAAATTAGCAGTTAGCTCATGCAAAGACAATCTACCAACCCTCCCCCCTCCTAGCCCCACTGCCCTGGGTAGAGATGCAGGGACTTATACTCACTTCAGCAGAAAAGTGAAAGTTGGAAAACTGGAAGAGACAGAATGTTTGGGAATATCAGATATGAAAAAAAAGCTGAAAAGACAAGCGCAGGGAGTGCCGAATATTTAACGCAGGGAGACAGCTGATTAGATATTTAAGGGGCAGTTATTACTTGTGAGCGTGCTCTGAATGCAGTCGAAATGGGCAAAGGTGTAGGGCCCTGGACCTCCCGGGGCACCCGGAGAGATGGTCCTCAGATGGGCCTCCAGTCCATTGAGTGAAGCCAGGCTGCTGTGATACTGGAGACAGATCGACAATGCCACGTATCAGCATGACAAAGGCAAAAACAACGCACTCATTTTCTTGAATTTAAATTGAGCTGCAGTTTGCAGAGGAAAGACAAAACACAGCCCTCACCACTTCCTCCATAGAAGTGGCGTCACTCATGAAGTGAGGCTCCACCAGCAGAGCCAGCACCAAGCCCTTCACTCTGTGCATGTACAACGTCATGGGGATCAGCGCATTCTCCTCTGAGGCGTCAGAGAGACGATGAGGAGGAGGAAGAAGAGGAGGAGGATCGCTCTTCCCTGCCTTGTGGCCTGAAACACTCCCACGGGAGACTCTGCTGTCTTCCTCCACCACCTTATCATCGTGCGGCTGCTCATTTCCAGACTCGACCGCTTGAAACTCAAACACACCCCCAAAAGCTCCCTCCCCTTCTCCTCCATTTAGATGGGAGTCTTCTTCAAACACGGAGCCGTCTCCTTCACTGCGAATCTGGCTGCGACCACCTGTGCTGTCGCGGGAGCGGCTCTCTTCCACCTCATCTTCAACAGTGTTTTCTCCATTTGAGAGAAACCTGAGCGACTGTGGAGATGGGTTGAGGGAATTGGCAGCGCTGTGGGACAAAGCCGGGCTGAACACATCGGAGTCTGACAAACGAGGGCTGAGGGACGCCTTCTGAGGAGGTTTGGATAAACTTGGATTTGACACCTGTGACTCAGTAGAAGGAGTGTCGGATAAAGTCCTTGACAGGCGGGTCTTCTTTGAGGGACCATCTCTTTGTGGCGTGGTAGGACAGCTGGAAGGTTTTAGAATGTCAGAACTGTGTAACAAAGGGATTCAAGCAGCTTGTTTAAATAAGCTTCACTGAATATCATCTGTAAAATAAATAAGGAGAAACTACCTGAAACCTTTGTCGACAGGAGCGGACTGCAGGTCCTGGAGTTCAGGCGCGGTCAGGAACACAGTTGTGGAGCTGACAGTACCGCTAAATGAGCTTGACGCACTTGTTCCATTAGGCCGCTGAGCCTACACAAGAAAACAAAAATATTATTTTTATTTGTTGCTGCCTGTTATACAGCAGCAACACTTAAATGCAACAGGAGCAGCAGCACTCCTTACTTCGGTGTCTTTCTGCACAATGACAATAAAGGCTCTCTGAGCACCTCTGAGAGTGAGAGCTGCATCATCAGCCCACTTTAATTATCCACCAGCCCACATCCTCCCAGGGAATCTAACAGGTTTGCTAGCTTGTGAGAACACCTGGCACCACACTGCAATTCTGCCTGCGTCTTTGCATTAGCTGCTTATAGCTGAGCTACCCCGGGGTCACAGCAGCAGCATACAGGATGAATCACTGCGCGTGCTGAGATTAGTTGTCATGGTTTACTCCAGTTTTTCTGTTTTCTGTCATTTATAGGTTTTATTCTTTATTCTTCAACACAGCCTGAACTGTCTTAGACGAGCTTTCTTATACTTTTCTTTAAATAGTCTTCAGGAATAGCTCACCAGGCTTCTTCACGGACAAGCTCTTCTTTTTGCCTTCTGTTCTGTCTGTCTGTCAAAACACTGCTTCAATAATGTTGATGTCCAGTCTCTGGAGTGGTCAGTCCATGACTGATGGTGTTCCACTGTGTCTTTTTTACCCAGGTTTAGGGCACTGGCTGTGTGTTTGGGATCATCATCATGCTGAAAAATGAAGCTGCTTCCAATAAAACACTTTTTGGCACAGTGGATGAAAATGATGGAACTCTACTGGGTTCATAATTCCATTAATTTTGACAAGATCTCAAAAACGACTGGTGGGAATGCAGTTCCAAACCATGACAGAGCCTCCGCTGTGTTTTATAGATGGTCACAGACACTCAGAGTGTCTTTGAAACAAAACTTTTACATTTGGAGATTTGGATTCATCACTCCATAAAACCTTTCTCCCCGTTTCCCGTCATTATTATTGGATTTTTCTCCCCTATTTCTTAAGTACATTGCTTTCAGATTCTATTAATCTGTTATAGACACACTGCACACCATGTTGAGATACACCAAGTTTTCATCAGGCTGAAAATATGCCAACACTTAATATTCATTCATTTTTACAAAACATACAAGCTGCTGTTTCAAACTTAAACAATTTCTTGATTGTTTATAGCCCGTCCACGAGTGACGTTCTGCACTTTAACAGCAGGCCAAAGTTATGCTGTATTTTTTGTTACATTTTAGACATTATTAAAGATTGCCTGCGTCTTAGAGAAACAAATATATAGAGTCAGTGGAGACGTGGAAATATTATGCGTTTATAGACCTATCACATCAAAGAGAGTGACCCTGGATGAAGAATAAGTTATTCTCTGACTTCTAAAGTACGGCTTTTGCAGCTTGCTCAAATAAAGAAATTTGTCACAAAACACTAACTGCACAGTGCATCAATCAAGCATGGTGTCCTCACAGCGGAGGGACCTGCGAAGTACCCTTGAGCTTCCATCCCCTAATTATGTGTATGCGTGTGAATGGGGGAGGGGGCTGGTGCGTCTCGTCTTTTCAGGCTGCTTTACTTACGTTAACCTTTCATTACATCTACGATTTTACTACTGCTGATCTGAAGAAAAAAGAAAAAAAAAAGTTGAGGAAACCTCTGGACAGATGTTGAAGTCCTACCTTGGTGTATGTTTCACTCTCGTGAACCATGACCTTCATTGTGAGCCCTGGAGACATCTGTGTGCTGACAACTCTTTGAAGCAGATCACAAAAAAATACATTAAAAAAAATTTCTGATTTCAGAAGCTGACATTTAAAAGAAGAAGTCGTGGCCGTTCTCTTCAAACGCGAGCTCACCTTCCTCTGAACAGAATACATCCAGCTAACACTAGAGGGCAGCGCTGACAGGCCTGAAGAATGAGGGCCGCTTTGAGCAGGAGAAGAGGGTCAACCTGAGGAAATGAATCCGATGAAATGTCACCTGCAGCTCATGCAGAAATAAACAATAAAAAAAATGATTTTGCTTTTATATTATCATCTACTGAGCAAATCTCCAGCGTGTGCCCACTGTATTGTTTACATGCATCCTGCAGGCACACTAAATAAGCAGAAATGAACCGCTGATGGTTTGTCGAGCCATGCTGAGGTCTTACTCAACACCACAAGATGTTGTTATATATTCTGCCCTCTGAGTGGCGGCAGGCTAAAAGCAGAACCCCACGTGTGACCTTTAGTACTTACGTTAGTCGAGTCGATGGTCTTCAAGCAGCTGAAGATGTGACTAAGCTCTGAGGATCCTGACTGCAGGTGAGAGAGGTACCTCGCCCACTGGGCTGCCAGGGTTTCCTGACTGTTGAGCTGCAAAGCAAAGGTCAAACTCGATGACAATGAGCATTTGGGGATTTTATTCAGACGGGTGGCAAATTAAAGGAAATTCAAACATAAAGGTGGCAGACCACTGTTTAACGGCACGGCCCGAAATGTCTCACGTGGGCCGAGATTGCTCGCCTGCCACAGCGTGTGATTCACCTTGTTGTCATACTCAGTGCTACGGATGAAGCACAGGGAGGCTCCTCAGAGAAGAGACCAGACATGAAGGTTTGCACTGACCCTTCACACTAAGTCCACCCAAAACCATTTCAATAAAAAGCCCCACAGTGTTGCTGAAAGCCACACACATAAAGGCTTTTTTGCCCCTTTAACTTGTCACTGGTTGTGCTGTCAGACATCTTGATCTTTTTGTGACGGCTGATGTAAATGTTTCTTAAACCTACGTAGAACAAAGCAGAAGTATTTGTGCAGCTGCACCTGATAGCTCTGGCGGACAGGGCCGTTGTAGAAACAGAAGAGGTCTATCAGCTGGTCCAGGAACTCAGACACGCTGACAGTAGGGACATCCACCGAGCAGCCCAGCGCCTGGGGGAGAAAAGAAAACACATCCCCAGAATAACCATTAGGGAAGCCTAAAATATCACAAGAGGTTACTGCTGGACCACCAGTAGAGCCCCACTCACCCAGAAGAAGTCGTCTTTCATGCGGATGGCGAACTTGTTGCGCCGCAGCCTGAGCGTGCGCGCTGGAGAGGAGGAGAGCTCGGAGACGCAGCGGCCCACGCCGGCGAGCTGCCCACACAGCAGCTCCTGTTTGTCTAGTGGGGTCTGACAGAGACATGTGATGCTTTCACAGACTTCTCTGAAATCAAGCTAAGAACATACGCACACAAATACAAGTGCTGGGAGATTGTTATCATCTTCAACACACTCCCTAACACACACACACACACACTAGACGTGCAGCTTGCAGCACTTTGTGTCAGCCAGACCTCTTCAGGGAAGAAGTAGCAGATTCCGTCTCTTGTAGGATCAGCCTCTCCTCTGACCTTGGATCCATCATATAGGAAGAAATAGTTACACCTGCAGAAGTAAACACACAGGAGTGGCTAAATGTGTCATTTAAGAAATAAAGAAGCAAGAAACGACACATTTCAACCACGCATTAGTAATACTGTGCTGGAAGCAAGCATCTAATTAACTTTGTGCATAAAGATATGTGTTTGGTTTGCTATAATAATGTAGTAGCTCACTATCAGCTAAGTAGCAAAGCCGTGTATGTTTATGGTCCACCCTGCATGCTGCAGCTGGTGTCTGTAGTAAAGGTGGCTCTCAGCGGATCTTACATTCTTGAATCTGGCTGCAGAAGCTCAGCCATGACCGACGCGAAGCCCCCAGGAGCCCCTCAGTATCTTGTATCCATCCGCCCGAGCAGGCTGCAGATGCACTCTGACACACACACACAACTACTAAAACACAAAAAGTGGAACTGATGTTTTATCCGCGAATTCTGATCTTAGTAATCGCCTGTCACGCCGCAGACGGTCCGCTGTTTGCCGCAGATCACTCAAAACACGGCCACGGAGCGTGTTTTCACGCCATGTTTACGTTTCGCTCGCCGTAAGTTTTAATTACTTCCACACAGAGAAAATATCGCCACTTGAGGAATGCAGGGCAGTCACACGCAGTGGAAATCATGTGAAAGGACGGCGAGCGCACAGGGACAAACTAGTGCGCCATTACGCTGCACATTACTAGAAAGGTGAAGACGAGAGTGTGTGAGGATTACTCACTGCTGGTTGGCGGATTGCCTCTTAGTGTCACATTGATTATGATCCCAGTGTCGGTGCTTTTACGTGAAATTGTTGTGAAAAGTGTCACTTTCTTCTTATTTTGTTTGTTTGTTTTGTAAAACCATCGTGGCGTTTTCAGACAACGTGCTTCTTAGACATCTTTGAATGTATGAATCCTGCACAGTCAAATGTGTCTATTTTAAGCCATTTTTATTGGAAATGAACAGGATTTATGAAGGGCTAAAATCAAGTAATGATCAGCATTGCAAGCCTGGTTGCTCCTACTCCATATTTACAGTCTGTCCAGTCCTCTTTTGACACGTAAAACATCTCTATAGAAATGTGATATTTGTTTCCATGTTGGCCAGATCTCTCTTTAAAGAGACATTTTTTTAGTCTCAGTAAATAGTCCCTTTACCAAAACTTGATTGCAGCTTCTACTTTGTGACAGGGCCGTTCTTTCTGCCTCGGAATGACTTGATATCATTCATGAGAGTTATGTTTGAGGTGTTTTTGACAGATTATAGCCCAAGAAGTCATTTACAACTGTTTAAATTACTCTTTCATTTATGTGGAAACGGATGTTTTAGGCGGAACTTTTAAAAAAGACGAAGAAATCACATCCACACAAAACTAATGTTCTGTTTTTATTGTATTTTATTTTTAAATTAAACCGGTGGCACATTACATGGGCCGTTTCTGTGTATTGCTCCTTAAGACTTCGACAAAAACCGATCATAAGCCTGGAAACGTGAGATGCCCGCGTGCTCTTCATCCTGGGAAAGGCAGTGCCAGAGGCTTTTGGCAGGAAAGGTGACCTCCAGCAGCTCCACTCTCGCGCACCGGTGTTAAAGGTCGAGCGTGGATTTAAAACTGCGCAATAAGAACGCATTTGTAACGAGCCCCTCTCAGCATCACGCGTGTTTCTACTGGGACTGGATCGGAAAATTTTGAAACGCTCTACATCTTACAGCCGCTTTGACTTCACATTTTCCTCCGCAGAGCCATCGCACATCCGTTTCTCTGCTCTTGATTAATGATGGCTACCATTCGTGGGCCGTGAACGCGCACCGCTCGCCAGCCCATGGCTGCAGGAAAGCGCGATGACACTGGACTCAGCTGCTTATCAGGTGACAGAGGGAGACGTTTAAGCATGCAGCTGTTCAAAAGGAGGGACCCGAGTTTAATATTTTTGGCGAGGAAGCGCTGTTTTCACTCTCAGTCCAGCCCAGACATTTCGATTTAGTGTCCAAGCCTCCTGAGGACGTGCAGCTGCTGGACAATGTCCACGCCTAACGGCGAACTCTGGACCCACAAACAGGCGCGCAGTGCACTGTGGGAGTCCAAGGACACACCTGTCTCTGTATAAAAGTCTTCACAACCCATTCTCCGGCACACCGGACTCAACAGCGATGATATGAAGTAGTAATAGTTACACTAAGCAGACACACTTTTACCAAAATTAATATTTAATCAACATAATGATTAACAGTTGACTTTTTTCTACTCTGAACCTCATGATTTTTACATCACTCTTTGGAGATAAATGTCAGAGAGTTAGAGCTGTTCATAGACAACGAGCAGACAACGATTCTTATAAACTGCGAAGTTTATGCGTTTGAAAATCACGTGACCCAGCGGCCTGTTTATTAGGAGGCCTCCAGCAGTGACAGAACAGTTAGCACCAATTTTCTGCGTGCTGGTGATTAAAAACAAAGAGTCAGCTTTGCTGTAGAAGGTTTCCAACTGAGCAAAGTGACTCCGATGTATCTGCATGGCAGCCATGATAAGAGCTGGTGAAATTCCTTGGACGCTAAAGATGCTCAGATGCTTCCTATCCTTTAGCAGAGAATAGGCTGGAGCGTCCTGTATTAAAAACCAACATGACTGAGAAATGATGCAAGTCATCACATAATCTCCCGCGCTGAGCTTCGTTTAGGCAACCGCAAGAAAATGATGAACTGTTACAAATCTGTCATGTCATGAAGATGTCTCCTTGTGTGAGACACTGTGTGGTTTAATGAAGTATCTCTATAAATAACCACAACTGGCCGGAATAAAATCATCAAAACAGAACGAGGGTTCTTGTGGAACACCGACTGCATTAGCTGCATCTGCTTAGCAACGGCATCCATTAATGTGACTTCAGAGAAAGGTTAATAAAAGTGGATCAGCAAGAACTCTCTGTCACATCTTTCCTGGACCTCAGGATGTTTTCCAAGGAGCTTGAGAATTTCAATTTAAAATTTTAAGCATACGATTTGGACCAGTTGTCACAAATACATATAAAAGGTCCTAAAAGTCTCTTCTGACATTAAAGCCATCTGTTGTTGCATTCGTTCATTTAAACCTGCTGTGGTAGAGTACAGTGAACATGGTGCTCTCACAGGCTCCACTTACATGCTACTGTGAACCCTCAAGCAGCCATGCTGCCTTCCATCAGTGCGCTTTAAACACTCTCGTGGTCTGAGAATCGGTGTACGGCAGCATCAGCACCGTTGCATAAATTGTGTGATGCAATACTGCAAAAAAAAAGGGTAGTGACATGTATCATTACAACCCTGACCAGCATGTAAGAGATTATGCTGCCTACAGCTGCAGCCAACTACAACCTAAACACACCTCTGTGAGCGTGCCGGGGTAAAAGGCAACATGTCATTTCAACAAATTCTTGTTTTTCCACATAAAAGGATAAAAGTACTTTTGTTTTTTCCTTGCAATCACATCAGCTGCTTGTCAAGTAATAAGATTTCTTTCTCCAGCTTCCTCATTTTAAGTGCTCTGTAAGCCATCTCTTGGTCCCGGTTCTCAATCTCCTTCTTGAGGTAGGAGCAGTAGAGAGACCTGAGGTTTTCTGTCTGCTTCTGTGAATCAGATTACACAAAACATGCGCTCTTATTGCATTCGTTTCTTCTCATTAGCACAGGACAGCTCTGACAAATGGACCTCACCTCTCCGCTTCTGCCACCAGCTGTAGCCCCAGCCGCGTTAGCGCCCTCCTGCAAGCTGCTGCCGTGAACGTCCTGTTAAAAAGAGCAATCCAGTCTTCACGCCAAGTACTCACAGGCAAAAGCTCCAGGAGATGCACGCGCAGCAGTACTCACCCCCTCAAACTGAGTGTCACTAATGTCCGTCTCGTCGCTGCTGAGGCTCTCTGGTTCAGTCTTTGTTATGGGCAGCAGCAGGACAGGGTGGCCCGACACTGCAGCAGCGAAGAAACATTTAAATAAGCCAATGTGGAAACTTTTGCAGGGATGCTCGTGAATTTCACCTACCGCTCATGAAAGAGCTGTCAGACACAGCTGCTGGGTCAATACAGGCGCCTCCAGGGAGAACCTCCACCCTCAGCCCGTTGTCTTTGTGATGCAGCACGTCGTCCTCACCCGAGTTCAGAGACGGGGTCGCCGAGCCGCCCTCGTTTCTCATCATTGCAACCCTTTTCCTTTTTGCTGCACAGGGACAGATTTGACAGGTACGTAACACACCTGGACTTTACCGACTCTGAGCCAGTGCAGGAAGAGAAACACTGAATGTTATACAGCTCCGTCATGCTAGTGCATGTATGTGCATAAAGCATTTTAATGATGCGGAGAGTTCATAAGCTCAAAGATCATAAACTCATTCATTTAGACTTAATGATTTGCAGAAAACCACAAAGAAAAACCTCTTTTACGAAGCAACTGCTGACTCGCTGAGATCAAAACTAAGACAAAGTGCTTGCACCTGTTTGCACAATGTTCTTGTGTTTGACTTTTACTTGCTGCCATGTCCTTTTGTAGCCACTGTCTGAGACCCTGTGAAGCAGGAAAAATAAAGATGATGTGTCAGTAGGGTCTATATTCAATAATTTGAATATAGGTCAATCACACTCACACGAGTGAATAAATGTCCTTACGCATTTATTTTATCAGCAATTCTCTGCCAGGCTTCCTCTCTGAGTTTAGAGGCACTGGTGGTGTTGGATTTAGCTGTTAGTATCTCTCTCTCCTCTTCATACAACTTCAGAATGAGCTCCTGCTCTTTGGAGCTGAAAAAATGCGCCCTCTCCTGTTTCCTCATTATCTGAAAATCTGTTTTAAAATAACACAGAAATATAAATGTACTATAAATGTACACGAATGAGAGTCAAAAACCACGTGATGATTGTTGTTGGTTTTGATTGTTTTTTGGGGTTTTTGTTACAGTTTGTGTGATCTTGCACAAAGTCTCCTCACCTCCGTCTGCGTTCATGGATTTCGATCCGGGTTTCTGCGTGCGACTGATCTTCCCTTTGTGGAGGAGCGGGGACGCGCAGTTATCCGAGATGTTTCAATGCTAGATTTAGTAATCAAATCGTAACCCGCGGTCGCGAGACGGAGTAAAGCCGAGCTTGATCGATGCCACGGTTAGTTACGGCACGAGTCCCATCATCAGGTAGCCTCGAAAAAACCAGAAGCGGGCAAAGGTAAACGGTGTCATTGAGCTGTCTATCAGCGAGCTTTGTTAACCCTGGATTTTCTAATTCGGCTTAAAGCGCGTTCACGTGAAAGAGGTGGAGTCTGTAACAAAGAGCGAGTCACGTGCGCGAATCATCACATCATCACTGATAACGTTAATGGTTGTTGGGTCGGGACAAGCTTACGGAGCTGGTTTATAGACACTGGTGACCTGTGGAAAACGTAGGAGTCATGTCGGGTTTGGCCACAGACTGAACGGGCACGAGCCTGACCCAGATTTTACTGAGTGAGACAAAGAAAAGGGTTTTTTCTTTTATGTGTAACAAAGACAGGTGTGAACAGTACACAAGAGCTGCTTCAGCGCTGGAGTTGCAGGCACTCCCTCAGCAAGACATCACAAAGCTTTTACTGGGGAAAGAACACTCGTTACTGCCAGCTCCTCTATTAGCACTTCTCAGTGTTTGCTATGAACAGGGTCTATTAAGATTTTGTGTATGATCTAAAAGAAAAAAACAAACGATATTAAACAATGATGGCTGCATAGTGTAGTGATTCACGTGACCATGAAATCAACATGCTCTGCTACCTGTCGTGACTAAGGCAGCCGATGAGAGTAGCTTTATATTGAAGAATGATAATTATTTACAAACTGTAACTCCTGTGCTTTGTGAGTATGCCTTTTCAATAAAACTGCTGTTAGTAATTAGAAATTGGATCCAAACCTCTCACAAAAAAGGTTAATCTGGCCAGAACAGGCCGTCTCTGTGACAGGACTGTTTCATGGATACCGACTGGTCACTGTTTGAGAGCAAGAATGTAGAGAAACATACTGAGACTGGGCTGTTCTATTTCACTTTTTGCACTGGCAACATTATTGTCGCAAAATACCGCCAGCTTTTCCCCAGCCAGGATGAGTGACGTGCGGCTCCTCCTCAGAGTCTGTAACAGCACCTACAGGCCAAAGGACAAGGTGCAGTATTCCAGTGCCAGAGCAAACCCAAAGCAGGGCATTGGAACTGCCAAGGACATGTACAGGGTAAACAAACAACAGCCCAACTGGGTAATTCTACTTATTTTCTAACTGGGTCTAAATGGGTCAAACTGCATGGATACATACAAGAAACATGAAGTGAGGTAATAGAAGTTACTTTATTTATGTTAAGTCAGACATTTTGTATAATGGTCCAGAACAAAGGAGCTATTGGTTCAGGTGCCCTGTGTTAAGAGCACAGAGGTAAAACGATTAAAGAGGAAAGAGTAAACTGTGAATAGGAGTGTGGTCCAATAACAACTGCTTAACAAGGACTGATCCCATCTGTGACATCTGGAGGTTTGTTTTTTACTCATGTCCCTCATAGCCATCAGGAAGAGGATTCACATGTGGGTTGTGGAAAAGACTTTTGTTGCCATCACCCCAGGGGAAACGCTAATGGGAGGGGAAGCATAAGAAAAACATAATTAAGTCAAAAATAATGTTGTTTTTTTAAAGGCAGCACTTAAAATTACAAGTCTCATGAAGTCAGACCTTGCTGCGAATGCGGAGATGGGTGTAGGGGACAAACTCTGGTTGCTCATGGCTGTGGTGCTGCTCCTTCAAGAATGTGTTCAACATGCAAACTCCAACACCTGGAAGGGCAACCACGAAGGTGAGGATCTTCCAGGTCTTACCTGGGGATAAGAAATCAGAATTATTTAACTAACAAGTAACAATAGAAAGAAGAGCGAAAGAGAAGTAAAACGATAACAATGTGCTGACATCTGACACTGTTAGATCATATGAACGCCCCTGAGACAGTCGACAGAGCATGCCCTTGACCAGAACTAAATCCAAGAAATACAACCAGTTTAACTCACTAAAAGACAGTTACATTCAAATCTGGTCCAAAAATACACCATATAAAAAGGCCCCACTGGATGCATGTTGTTACTTTCAGCTGTAAGATTTCTGATAAGATTCTGTAAGATATGACCTCACTTAGTGAATAGTTAGACACTGTTTAAAGTCTCTCTTTTAAAAGACTGTCAATGCGAAATGCAAAATTAACTGTGCATTTATACAAGAACAGTTCAACTTCCTTGTATCTCCACAATTATTCAATTCAAGTCAATTCAGTTCAAAGCTGTCCTTTTCCTTCCTGCTCAAAACGCCTATCCTCTCTTTATCTCAACACTGGTCCGCCTTTCTCGTGTTGAAATAAATACTTCCTTTACAAGCTGTCGGTCATAACGATTATCAGGTGTCTTTGTGACTATCCTTTCATCTTTTGTTGCACTTTAGCTCGTAAGACATGCTGTTCGTCACACTGCTCCACTTTTAAATCATATTAACTAACAGACTGCGCTGCTGTGAGACACAGACAACAACAAATGCAAGAAAATCACAAGTTTCGGGGGGCAGCGACTACGTGCTCTCCTCTCAAGGATGCATTGCTACTGCTAATGCTAACGCTAGCTCAGCAAGGTCACTGGATCTAACATAACAGGTCGTCTTAAAGGCAAAACAAATTAAATGCAACCACTTGTGTAAAATAGAGCGTTATAATTACCTGACTGCTCGCCGTGTCCGGCAGCGGCAGAGAGCTGACGCCGGGTTTGGGTCAAAGAAGACCTCAGCAACACTTGAGAGATACGTCCAAAGGCCGCCATTTTCCTTTCTGGCTGACGAATAGACCGAAAGAGGTTTGTACACATGCGTGACGTAAAGGCCGGACAACTGTGAGCTCTGCTGTGTCACCAAGCGGCGAGATGGAGAACTGCAGCCTGCATTTCACATTAAAACAACACAGCTGTAACCGTGATCTGTTTTCTCTGATTTCATGTGATGTGAGGTTTTCTATATGTATCATTCGTATATATTTAATCCCTATAATATCCTGAATATTTATAATTGGGCTATTTGTATTTATTAAAGGTATTTCTCATATTTTGTAACTTTGTAAAATATTGTTATATTTAATTTAGTTCAGCCTCCCCTCAGTTTCTGTATATTGTATATTGAATGCAAAACTCAAATCAATTCAATTTTATTTATATAGCGCCAAATCACAACAACAGTCGCCTCAAGGCGCTACAATAATACATACAGAGAAAAATTCAACAATCAAATGACCCCCTATGAGCAAGCACTTTGGCGACAGTGGGAAGGAAAAACTCCCTTTTAACAGGAAGAAACCTCCGGCAGAACCAGGCTCAGGGAGGGGCGGGGTCATCTGCTGCGACCGGTTGGGGTGAGAGAAGGAAGACAGGATAAAAGACATGCTGTGGAGGAAAGACAGAGATTAATAACAAGTGTGATTCAATGCAGAGGTCTGTTAATACATAGTGAGTGAGAAAGGTGAGTCCCCCAGCAGTCTATGTGCAGCAATTTATGTAGCATGCAATACAATTTATATGGAGTGAAAAAAATATTTCTAATAATCCTGAAAGCCACCTCTATTCTTCATTCTTCATTCTTCCTCTTGAACTGTCTTAAGCAAGCTTTCTTCTAATTTCTTTAAGTAGTCTGTCACGCTGCTCCAGTAATGTTTGGGATCCTTTCCACATGGTATTGCATGGTGGATCAAAATCTGATTGTACTTTTCTGTGTTTATAATTCACTCAAATTTGACTAGATCCCCAACACCACTGTAGCTAGTTTTTTTTTTTACTTTAATTTTTTTTTTGTTGCAGCCCCTAAATTCTCTCAACTTCACCCCAAGAGAATGATTCATGAACCTTAAATAACTATAACACATTATAAACGTCTCCTGTGCCTGGAATGTGTTTCTCTTTAAACAGGGGAGGATTTTGTGGGGTTGCATGGTCAGAGTCCAGATACGCAGATACTCTGGCTGATCAAGGTGAGTGATAAGTTTTATTGGTTGGGATTGTTTGCTCTTGATATGGCTTTGCAGGCTTAGACTAGTGCATGACACAGGGGGTTATAAATGTAATCATCTAAATATCAATAAATACAACAAGTATTTACATAATTTAAATTTACAATAACTCAAATTTTAGCTGTACACCTTTGAAAGTGTTTGCTTTTAGACTATTAAAAGACCAGCGTCTATTTATTGAACCATTAATAGTTAACATAATATGAGGCCTAAAAACAAACAAGAACCATTTGGTTAACCTCTTGTAGTCTGATCATGTCTCTGGACTGAATCCTGGTAACTGCGCTTTAAGTACTTATGCACACATTTGCATCAGCTGATTTCTTTCAGCAATGGAGCTTCAGTATCACCAGGTTGGATCTTTGGATAGAAGCTCTGTCCATGAAAACACCGCAAAGACAGGTAACATTTTCACGTCACTTCATTTTAATCAAGTAGTTTCCAGTAGTTTCCAGTGATTTGGTTGGTTACTGTTTGTAGGTATGAAGAGGATTGTGATTTTTGTGCTCTATGGCCTGCTGGTGCTGCTGTTGTTGATTCTGCTGCTGGTAACTGGGATCAAATGTACGACTATAGTCCACAGTGACCACAGTCAAGTAAAGCTGGTTCATTCATATATTATTATATAACTGTAAAGGAATCTAACCTTTTTCTTTCTATCATTCCTTTATCTTAAAGTTTCACAGTTAAGCAGGGAAATCACAGATCTCAAACAGTATCTTGGGAAAACGAACCATGGAGGAACAACATCAGCTCTCAGTTCAGGTTAAAAAACAAAATGATATCTGGTTTGAATATGTGCACACATAAACCTTTTAGTCCTCTTCACAATCTTGCGCTGTCATTTTGTGGTTTTCCACATTTAAGGCGAGATGACAGTTCACAGTGACGCCTTAGAGGAGCTCACCCCAGTTAGAGGTATTAAACTGCATGCTTTTAAATCATTTATATCAGATTTTATTTCTTTTTACAGTCAACATATGCTAATCGTTATCATAATAGGGACATGCAGCGAAGGCTGGGTGTCTTACCAGAGTAGCTGTTACCTGGTATCCATCACCAGTATAACCTGGAGCAAAGCAGAGGAGCAGTGCAAAGCACACGGAGGACACCTGCTGGTTCTGAACACTGCAGAGGAATTGGTGAGCTCCTTATCACATCAGCTTGCTGTGAACATGCCAGTTAAGAAGCACACATAGTCTTAAACAAAGGGTTTTTTTTTTAATCACTTCTAGGACTACATTTCCAGAATTGTTCCAATCAAGTATATCTATTGGATCGGACTCGTGGAACGACATCACGAGGGACAGTGGAGCTGGGTGGACGGAACTGACTACAGGTCAACCCCAACGTAAGAAAAATGTAACCAAAAAAAGTAAAGATAGATGAGTGGGAGGAACAAATCGAGGCAGAAGGAAGTCATCACTGTGTGTGGCATCATTATTTCTCCTCCCTCTTCTGATTGTGTTCAGTTTCTGGGATGAAGGTCAGCCAGACGACTGGGAATACAGAGAGAATGGAGAGGACTGCGGGCAGCTTCATCCGCCTGAAAGACGTGAACGCAGGTTGTGGAATGATGCCGACTGTAACATCACGTACCGCTACATCTGTGAGAAAAGGGCATGAGGAACAGGGGAACACCCTGAGATGACAACCCCGCCCCTCCCTCGCCAGCAAGGCCGACCCTGCATGGCAGGCAGGAGTCCAGAATGATGGAAAAGATGTTACTGATGCTGATGTGTCACAGAAATAGATGAAACGTGCATGTATGTCTTTAAGTCTTTTCTTGGACAATAAATAAATAGCTATGGAAACAATAGCACTTCTATTCATTTACTGATGTTTTATTTTTTCAAATGATGATGCCCTCTTCAGCTCACTGGCAGCGGTCACTCGGGATGTCAGCATTTTCCTCACTGTAACCAGCCTCACTGAAGCACATGGCTGCATTCCTGTCACACTCGCAGATAAATTTCTCACACGGATCGTTGTCATCTACAAGGGGAAAGGCAGAGAAGACGGTTGAGTGTTTGCTGTACACAGTAAGAGAAAATCTAGCTGTAGACTAGGTTGATCGATAGTACACTGCTGTTGTTGTTAACACTCACCCAGGCAGGTGATAGTTTTGCTGGCCTTGTCACAGTTATAGCTGTATATTTCAGTGTAGGGGTTGTCCAGGATGGCCCAGCAGTCATCGTGCTGCATGGCATCACTGTAGCACTGGTCGTGGACCTGACAGCACCTACAACAAACACATGACACAATCAGACCATTAAAGCAACCCTTTTAAATTTACTAAAGGACTGCTGCTAACAGTTTCCTTAGAGTATAGTCTGCATCCTGGATCAGTAAGGTCAACATGTCATAACTTGGCAGAAATCAGGAAATAGGACAGTTTATCAGCAGCCTCTCTGTGACTCTCTGAGATCGCCCAGTGATGGCATTGATTTTTATTTGGGGTTTTTTTGTTTTTTGGTGTATTTTCTTTATCTATATCTATCTGTGTCTATAACAAGCAAAAAGCAAACATTAAAAAATATGTCTGTAACAGTGCGGCTCAGTCCATGGAGACATTTTTAACGCCTTGAGTTCACTAATCAATTTTATCTAATGAGCTTTTAATTAATAAAACAAAAAGAGATAATAAAGCAAAGTTGCACAAGAAACGCTTTTCACTGAACACTGTAAATTCCTAGCTAAATTCCATTAATGCAACAGATTTAATTTACACAAACAACTGAATGGCTTTTCTGAGGAAACAGTTACTGTGAGCACAAAGGCTCATGGGACTGTTAATGTTCAAATAATGAATTAAGTAGTTTTGTGGTCCTCATGTGGTTTCTACTGTTTGTGTGGCTGAGAAAAGACAAGTTTAACTCGTGTCTGCCATGACCAAGATTAGAGTGAATAAAGATTTCCAGCCTATGTTCAGCTAAGTAATAATCATGCAGTTGTGCAGTTTGTGGGAAATCTCCTCACATGTGATATTAAGACTGCAGAAAAACACTCTTGGGTTTAATGACATTTTTTTTGATACATCCACTTGGATTACATAAACTATTTGCTATTCCTGCTAAGTTTGTTTAAATACTTTGTGCGATACACCGTATAACTCACAGTGACTGTGGGAGACTCAGAGGTGGATATCTCACTGGGGGACAGAACATGACAGGCAGCATGAGCAGTACGACTCCAGCAATCTTACCTGTCAAGCTCATCAACAGGTGTGCCAGAGCCTCCCAGCCCGCAGTAGCAGCCGTAATCAGCGTAGTCCAGCGCTGGCCAGCTATCGGGTACCGTGCACAGGATCATGGACCTGAACTGCCACAGAGCTCGATAACCCAGCACTACGAGACCCAACAGAGACATGTAGCAGGTTCACATCCCAGAACTGTCTGGCATTGCATCAGGCAAAATCAAAACTCAAGCCTCTTGGGAGATTTTCTGATATCAGTTTCACTGAAAGAGAGCTGTCATGACAAATACTTTTAAACTTACGAGCTGGGAGGCCGAAGAGCACAATGAGCAGAGAATGACTCAGATGCATTTTACTGGAGAAGTGTCTCAATGGTCTTTGGGGTAAAGCTGTTGCTTTATATTGACCGTCCAACTGAGAGGTGGTCCTGCTTTGACCAGCTGCTGGGAATCATCCAGTCCCTTATTTAATACCTTATACAACGTATATGGATCCACATGTATTGTAAATAAGCAACAGGTGCATACACAATCACATGCATATAAGAGCAAGCACAAACACATTAATGCTTTTTATATTTGGTTGATTTTTTTTTTCCTGTTGTGTAAAGTTTAATTTCCTTTGATCTTATATGCACACCGAACACGAGCAAGGTGCAACCGAAGGTCATGAGAGCTGTGCCAAATGTTAGCTATTTACACAGGTGCATGTTCAAGTTTTAATTTGACTCCAGGTAATCCAAACCCAAGGGAGCACAGAGTAAGCAGAAAATGTAGAAATACATTATAGACCACGTTATTCAGGAAAATCTTTTTAAAAAAAAGCACAAATAGGGTAATTGGGTAACTTTATAACAATGTCAGACTGTTAAGCATTAGTAGGATATTAGTAAGGTATTGGTGCAGTATTGGTAAGTGCTTAATTCACCATTCCTCCTCCTTAGTGTGTGATAATTATCCTTCTGTTGCTGTTACACCGTGTACAGCAGTCACTGTTACCACATCACTTCTAGTATCATACATTGCCTGGAAATTAGGCTAAGAATGACAGAGATGATTTTTTCCTGAACATTCACGAGGAATCATATCCACAACTGGACGACTCGTGCTGAGTTATGGAGCACATAATAGGTTACTAGTGGAGTCCATGAGAAAATAAATGCTGTCTTTTTAGGAGTCATGTTGGAGACAGGAAATGGAAATGCTTGTTGTCTTTTTATTGCTTCTGCTCAGAGAAACACTCAAGTATATGTAGCTTTAGTATACATGCAGCAGTTTTGTTCAAAATAAGAGAGCATAACATGAAAACACAGAAGGCCACATATCTCAAAGTTTCTATGAGTGAATACAGTTGTTTTACTGGTGCAACAGAGCAAAGCCTAACAGCAACGGTCCTATTGAAC